ATATATATATATATATATATATATATTTAGTTAGTTTATAAGTTTATATTGTCCGAATGGTCCGCTATTAAGAATTATATTGATATTATATATATATATATATTTATAATGTCTATAAACAGCTTTATTTAGAAAGAAATTTGGAATATTTTCGTTTCTCTTTTGAAATGCCTTGCAATTTCAAGTTAAGTGTCTGGCAAATTATCTTAATCTTAGAAGTACAAAATATTTTACATTTCATTTTTATATGTTTACATGAAAACGTGATTTTTTTATGTGACAATGCTTCTGCAATATCATCACTAAGCATGCCGACTAATAATTGTTCAATTTGATTAAGTAGTGAAAAAGAAAATTATTTGGGTATGTGAATCTGTTTTTTGTTTTAAGGTTAATCAACTGTGTCGCAGGTTGATAACTTTCATCTTTGGCGAATGCCTTAATACAAACTTCACAACATGTAAAATTTTAAATTTTTTTGCAATAAAGCCAGCAACATAATATGTTATGCATTCTATATATCTGCAGATGTATAATCATGACCAATTATCTCTTACACTCCTAAATACCTCTTTCAATATGTCCAATCCAATTTCTCTTTTAATTTTTTCAAGTGGGTAAGATCCTCTTTGGATTTCTTTACGAATATTTTTTTTTCCTTTATAATGAACTCTCGGTTTCTCATGAAATGGAATTTGGCAAATACCAGATCTTGGTGGTTTTAATACAAAATGTAATGATGACAATATATGTACCGGTACAGTATATATATAGTATAGTTCAATACATAGATAATATATATCATTATATAGTTGTAAGAATGTTGGAAAATCAGGATGTTTATTTTGACATCCAGTTCTTCTAATTGTCCGAAAAAAACCGCTGTAATAAAAAATATTTGATTACAATTTTTATATATTGCTGTAGAAAAAAATGCAGCAATTAGAAGTATATTTTAGATTATCGGTTGGTTAAATAGTTTAAAACTACAATAAAGTTAATTAAAAGATTTTTTCGAAGTGCTTTGCTGATTTTTTTTAACTCTTTCCGCCCTGTGGGCACTAAGAGGGTCTCTTTAGCAAGAGAGGCTCTTTCGGCCAGAACCACAATAGGGCAGTCGGGTGGTGAAGGACGGGGACCGACATATCCGGACAGACCACCCAGTGGCGTAGCGTAGTGGGGGCGGCCCGCACCAGGAGGCACTTTTTAGGGGGCGGCAAAATTTCACAATAAATAATAATATCTTGTAAAAATTTGAACTATTTCATTTCATATTTTCGTCGCACCTACGATTCGGACCGACTGAAATGAGCACGGAACAGTGTTACCATCCGGACAGTCCGGGAATCGACTCACCGTCCGGGTGAACTATTAATTCTGTCCGGGAATATCGTGCGCGACCTGTCGACCTCTTTTTTTGCTTGTACGATTCATTCATATTCATATACACCTCCAATATCCATTAGAGCTAAGTCATCTAGGTTACTTACGTTACTCCTACCTGATTTAGAACTGGCACGCACTGCACATTATTCTTCGCATTGCAAAATGACATACGCATGCGTCAGGAACTTCTGTTCGAACAAACCTCACCTGCCGTTCGTGTCAGCGATTTTAAAAAGATGGCAACACTAGCACGGAATTTTTCATTACTTATTCTGTGACGAAACTGAATTTTAGTCTTCTAAATTGAGATACCTAAATAAGGAGGCAACGAAATTTTCCTTTGCCCCCGGCGGCTGATACCTACGCTACGCCACTGAGACCACCCCCGAAAAATATCTGGTGATTTTTCGACCCGTTCGGATTCTATCCCGGGTCCCCCAGAGCGGTAGGCTGCCACATAGAACCGCTCGGCCATCCAGCCGAAGGATGGCCGGATGGTAAGGAACGGGGCTTGACATATCCCGAGGTAGCCTATCCCGTTGTCCCTAAGCACAGCTTCGGGACGCCGAAATGCCCCGTTTTCAGAAAGAGAACAACCAACGGTAACAATTTTGAAAAAAAGGCGCGAAAAAAAAATAATAGCAATATGTCTCATACATATGTAAGTCGGTCAGAAGCCTGGTAGTTCGCTTGCTCCTCGGTTGCGGGTACATGTAGACCAGGGGTGGCCAACAGTTTTTGCCCCGTGGCCGGATTGGAAAGAAAACTTTTTCCACGGGACAAACCAGAGGCTGCTTAGGAAGATTTTGAGGTGGTGCGAGATCTTATTGTGGTGTCACCCCCTAGAAACCGAATTGTAGTTAAAAATTACAGATACATTTTTCACATTATCATGCTTTATCAACACTCTACTCTGTAGTTAGAAGATTTGTAATGGAGGGCTAACTCTAAACACAATGAGTTAACTGTTTTTTTTTTTTTTTTTTTTTTTTTAGGCGTCAGAATTTTTCATCGAGCTATTCGGACTTCACAAACTAATATTGAAAGATTGATCGCGGGCCACATAAATTCATTAGACGGGCCGGATCTGGCCCGCGGGCCGTATGTTCAATGCCTGGTGTAGACGGTTCACATTCTTGACGATAGTTTATTTTATTTTTTATCGACGTTTGTTATTGTAGTCAATTTAAATTTATTGTACGTGAACTCTTCATTTTAACAAAGCCTAAACGCAAGTGCACTTTTAATGTTAACTTACAAACTAAGTACCCATTTATAACGCAAAGTAGGCTACTCCATGGAACGTCAGATGTGAAGAGTGTCGTACAGAATTTAACATAGCCTATGGAGATGCCAGCAATATTAACCAACATTTAAGATCAGGAAAACATAAAAATTTCGATCTTGCTGCCGCTTCGAGTTCTTCGATGCTTAATTTTTTAAGAAAACGGATTCACCAACTTCGAAAGTTCTGGAAGTTGCTGCGACAGAAGGCGCTTGGGTTTATTATATGGTGCAGTTTTCGTTCAAACGCTTATGCTTCTAAATTAATTCAAACATGCTTTGAACAAAATTAGATGTGCTCGTACGAAAACAGAAACTATTGTTGTAAATGTGTTGGTGTCAATAGTAATAGGTGAATTAAAAGATCGCCTCGACGAATGGAACTGTATCACGGTATTAACTGATGCTTCAAATCATGGGTCCAAGAAAATATTCCGTTTTAGTTCGCATTTTTTTTACTATACGAAGGCACACAAGTCAAACTTTTAAAATTTCAAGACTAACTGGGCGAAACATAAGACGTTATTGTCAATTATTTAATGAAAGTATTGACAGAAAATAATTTGACTTCAAAAATCGTAGCATTTTGTGGAAATAATACTAACTGCAATTTTGGCGGATTGAAAAGACATCAACAATGTTTAGGGGCCGTCCATAAATTACGTAAGGGCGATTTCGGCCATTCTAGGCCCCCACCCACCCGTGTAAGAAACCGTAATATTTTCTTTGATCCCCCTCCCTATCTTACGTAATATTTTGGCATGATTTTATGAAAAGATTTTCACCAAAAAATTTTTTTAATGAAACCCTAAAAACCTCAGGTCCAAAATATATAATTATTAATTAGTTAATTAATATGTACTATTATTTATAAAAGACTTTATGTGAACAAATTTATAAATATAAAAATTTAATGAATTCGAATGAACAATTCATTTTAAAAACTTTATATATATATTTTTTAACATTATTATTATTAACGTCATAATGTTTATTTTTGTATTAATTTTAATTTTCGCAAAAGACGCAAAAAAACATTGCCAGATCGAATAGCTAGTGCATGTGTAAACAGAAACGTCATACAAAATAAAACAAGAGAGAATAGAGAGAAACCTCATTCCGTTGCCATATTGATAAAATCTTGGCTAAGGCCAAGAAAATAAACTACATGCTGCTAAAATGTGCTAGGTGCACCTGGGGACTAAATAATAAAGCTTATAAAACTATACAATGGGACAATACAACCAATGCTACTTTACGCGGCCTCTGGCTGTGGTCATGTAACTAGTAAAAATTCAGTAGCAAGTAAATTACTCTTTCTTCAAAGCCAGTTTTCCATCAGAATTTCAAAGTGCTGTAGAACTGTATACCAAACCTCTCTGATACTAGCAGAGTTCCTTCCTTTGCCACTATGTATTGTAGAAAAGGTTCTAAACGACTACATCAGAACTACAAACGTCAAGGCTCAACAACGGTCTCTACTTCTATATACGGCTGTTCATATGCTACCACATTGCAATTATCCTACTTTCTCTGATCATCATCCTGTAAACAAGGTTATTTGGTGTCATCTGCTTCTTCCATGGATAATCATGCAGACATTAATATCTACACAGATGGATCCAAAAGCTCCCTTATTGTCGGCTCAAGTATCTATCTTCCTCCAAACTGACATATTTTGCCAAAAATATGTTAGAAGGTACAGATACTTCCATCTATCAAGATGAAGAAGATTCGAAAAGTTGAAACATTCCCAGTCGTTGGGTGGAATTATTCAAACTCTTTCACACCAATAATTTGAATCGTATGAACTTTGGTATAATTATTGAATACATTTTATCTCCTAGGCACTAATGCATCCGTAGAAAGGGTCTTCTATTATTATTAGAGCTCAAAGATTTTAAAACGGGATTTCGTAAAAAAAAACACTATTTTTATTATAAAGTACATTTTCTTTCACCTTATTTTATCTTATAAAAACACTGCACTTGGATATTATTTCTTTGAATTTTGGACTTTTATTAAGTATTCTGCATGACTACAATCTTTTTACTGTTAATTGCATGTAAATTTCGCATGCAATTGAATGTGGGCAATCAATAACTAAATACTCTGTTGTGATTCCAGTTCTCACTTTTCTAATATGTACCGTACCAGTCTAGATATGTAAAACTTCTGACCAGGCGCGACACTTACGGCGGCCTTTCCTACTTTACAGGATGTTATACAGGACAGCAAATAAACTTTAGAGCCATAGTACCAAAATTTGCTTGTATTGACTCTGCTATATCATTTAATTTTTTCAGTCTAATTTCTTACCACGTATGTTAGAAAATCGTTCCGTTAAGAGACTTATTTTCGCTTTTATAGAGTCAGTTTTACCTCTGTTCGCAGAGAACGGATAAAGTTTTTGACAGATTTTATCGTTTTAAACAATTTGCTGAGTTTACAGTTTATAAAAAGTATCCTTCTTTGGTAAGAAAAGAGAAAAGGCAGAGAATTATTATTAATATAAAGGAAAACAGTCAGAGCAAACTTCAAACTTCATTTGCTAAATATTTTATAAATTACATGTGTAATAAAAAATAAGTACTACCTATGAATTATCTGTACTAATGTTATTACTAAGATAACTGAAATCAAAAACAAACTTTTCAAAGAAATTTTATTAAACAAAAGTGCAAGTGCAGACACACAATGCAAGAAAATTCTATCATCTATGTCAAATATATAATACACAATATTACAATTTCTCAGATTTGGGAAACAAATTTATTAGACAAGATAAATTACACAAAGGCAGTTCACTAACAAAGACTTGGAGTTACATTAGGTATCAGCTTTTCCACAATAAAACCTTATGACTATCATTATTGGCATAGGCCTGATGCAGCCTACTACACTTTGTTTTTTGTATACTCAACAGTGTAAAGCACGATCCACTTAGTGAAAATGAATGTTCCGAATCACTGAACGTCGAGATTGACTGGTGATAAATTCGATACACTGTCGGGTCGATAGAGCACACTTTTCCCTCAAGGAATGCATGAATAATAGAAATGTAGAAATTCGTAGCGAGGCGCTTTAAAGCCAAGGCTACTTTTTTCTTTTCTGTTTTTTTTTGTTTTTTTTAAAAATGGTACAATATACAGAAATGCAAATGACTTTCTTCAGAAACAATTTTTTGGATAATTTTCTCATTTGCTCTAGTATCTACACACACAATAATACCAGTTCTACAAACATTTGAAATCATCTGCCACATTATGAAATGCAAATAACACATAAAAGTGACAGACAAAAGAGAAAATGTGCAACTTTGGTTTGAAAGTTTTTTGTTGTTTTTAGTGTAGCACATTTTGGGATGATATTCGTGTAGAAGACAAAACTGAATTTGGTTACAGTTGTTTCCAAAAATGTTTGCCCCAAGAAAATTATAAATTTATACTTAAGATGTTCTCTTTCCTATCATATTAGTTCCAAACAGCTTGAAATCCATAAAATAATAAAGCATATGACTTTAAGAGCAGTTGGTAATCAAAATAAGAGAGTGCAATTTAATTTTGGAAAAAAGTCATATGTCTGAATTATTTTAATAGGATGCATCAAGATAATATGAAAAAAAAAAAATTCTTTGAAATTCATCTATGGTCCCAAAATTTAAATGTTTTATGTAACTTTTGCACAAAATGGTAACTAAAGATAAGAACATTTTGATATATATATATTTTTTCAGTAACTGCTTACATAATTACAACATTATTTACACAAATTCATCATAGATTTTTAAATCCATATTCTTATGAATTTTGAAAGTGGTAAGGACTATGTAATTTATAGTTGTGACAAAGCGGGAAAGATATGGGCAAAATTCTTTACAAATCATTTTAAAAATTCAATGTGACGCCTTATGTAAAAGCCGTATTTCTTTGTTTGTTTTTCCTCCTGACTAAGATAGGTTAGAAATAAGTTTGTTCTTATTTTTGACCAATCCAACAAATAAATCCTGTTGTAAATTGTGATTTTTTCCTTTACAATAATACAGAGATTTTAATTTTTCTTTTGATCAACTAGATAATGTTTCTATTGTAATTCAAATTTTAGTTTTGTTCAATTACATTTTCTGTATTTGATATAATTTATAACAAACGGAAATCTGTTCTTATATGACTAGAAATAGGAAGATAACTTTTGTTTTTTTTTACAGGCAGTCAGACATGTTTAGCCAGGCACACACTGGCAAAATTTTTAATTTTTGATATTAAATGCTTGTAATAAGTAGTTACATGGTTTAGACATAAGGCAAATTGTTGATGCATTGAGATATTCAGCTGCCAGAATCAATATAATTGTTTCTGGTGAAAGTAAATAAAGTTCTTTGTTTTTTGTAAAAAGAAGTTGCAAAAAAGCAAAGCAAAGAAAATAAAGAACAAGCATTGGTCCTGTGTCACCAGTTAATCTTGTGCTTCCAAAACTCCAATTATCCATTTGGTGTGCAGAGCAATCTGGCAAAATGGTGGCAGGTGCTCAAGACGTCCATTTCAATTCCATATCTTTAGGAAGCTATCCCAAGAACCTGTAGCTACAGCCATTCCATCTTCTGTGACTCCCAAGCAACTCACTCTATTATCATGACCAGCTAATACTCCTTTAAATAAAAAAAAAAACCAAACTAAATTATATCAAAAATATCAGAACACATTTTTGAGAAATTCAACTGTGTATGAGTATCATAAAAAATATTCACTCTGACATTAAAAAATCTCTCTCTAGTAGTAGGAATATAAGAAAACATTCAACATTAGAGTTAGACAGATTTCACAGTATAACCAACTGAACCAACTCCTAGTTGTGTTGCCATGACAACTGCAGTCAGTGGGAGACTAGTAGTTCCAATTGGACAGATTTAAAAAGTTAAATATCTGTACTCAGGTTGGAACAGTCAGTGAGCTACAGCCAATCAGACTTTGGATATATGAAAACTATCAAATTAATCAAATATAACTATATTATATATATTTATAATTTTTTAAAATTTTACCTTGTACTCTGTTCCTTCCAGAACTGCTTAAATTTTATATGAGAACACACGACTTCAATATAATAAAACATTATTGATGTAAATGAAAAAAGATGGCAAAATTTAGACTTTTCAGATGAATTTATAAACAAAGTAAGATCATATCTGCAAATTTTAATCAGGCAGATTACTAAGATATTTAAAAAAATTGGAAAACCTTAAATTGATTGACTGGTGTTTTGATTTCTAACATGTGTTCCAACTAGTCATAACAAATTGGTCACTGACATGGGCATATTCAATGTAAATGGTTTTTTTCTATCAGTCAGGTTGGCCATAATATGAAATCAGCCTTATACTGATGATAGTAAGAATTAATGGTTGAGACATGTGTGCCATTCTAAAGACAGAGATCGAGTCAAAGTAGAATGGCAAAGATTTTTCATGACTGTCCCAGACATGTTGAACATAACACTTAAATACAGTTTCAACTGCTTTTATGTTTAATATTAAACATAAAAGCAGTTGAAACTAATGCCTGTACAATATGTTTACAGTTACAAATTATTGTCTCAAAAAACTGCATTTACAATACTTTGAGAAAATAATTTGAAGCTATAATACATTGCAAATATTTATGATCAACACAAGCATTGTAAAAAATATTTAAAAATTATATTTGGAACATTTTTTTTTTGACAAAAACTGTTTGTATTTCAAAACTATGTATCAGAATGTATCATTTATCTATATTCTTTGATTCATTCTCTATTCTTAATTTATCTTAACAGCTATAACTTTCTATGTACTAAAAAGCTTCATTAATTTACAATTAACTATATTTATAGTAAATATTTCAGTTCTACAACTTTGTAATTAATACTAATTTAAATGAGAAATTATCCTCAAATTTCTATTTTTAAGATGGCTATCATGATTCACAAAACACAATTATGAAAATATTCAGATTAAATATTTCCAAACAACATGAGTACAATTTCTTAATAAAACTTCATTCTCTTACATTTCTTCATTAAAAAATTAAAAAAATACTTATTATTTAAAAAATAACAAAATCACATACCTGCTCTTTCAGCTTTCATAGAATCCCAGACATTACAATTAAAATCGTCATATCCAGCAAGAAGAAGCCTACCACTTTTTGAAAATGCTACTGATGTGATGCCACAGATAATGTTATCGTGGGAATACATTCCTAGTTCTTGGTCAGCTCGTATATCAAATAAACGGCATGTTGCATCATCTGAACCAGTTGCAAAGGCATAGCCATTTGGAAAGAACTAGAAATAAACAAAATATATTTTAAATCCATAAAATGCATTCAATCATCTTACATAATACACTGCACACTTGTTAATAGAAAGTAAATGTTAAATGTTTAGTTCATATAAATTTAAAATCAATTTTGCCACTTTACACCACACACACACAAAATGTCTGTAATTCCTCTTTCCATTTAAACAGTGATATACACATTATGTTTGTGTGATTCAGCTTTTATTCTATAATCTGCCTTACACAAAGTCAGTTTTAAATATATTAAGATTATATTGATAATACATTTCAAATAATCACATTTCTCAACATGTCATGAATTCATCTAAATAAAAAATTAATTGTGTCTGTAACTAAAAAGTAACAACTCAATATAGTTTCTACTGAAGTAATTATAATAAGAAATTATTATAAATATCAAATACTAATATATTGTTTTCCTTCATATATATTTAATTCCTTTACTAAAAAGTAAGTATTATGTTTATTAAATATTCTGAGATGTTTTTATGCTTATAACTATAAATTCTGTAGAACCTGTAGTTATCTTGAGGTTTTGTGAGCCAGTCTTATTCTTTTGTTTTATGTCCAATCACATTCTTTTACTTGTTCCTAAAATGTTCCATCTATCAGATTGATGATTTGTGCCAAATTATTTAATTGATGTTTATTATGAAATGTTCATAATAAACATCATCCTTCATTTCTACGTAATTTTTTTAAAGGAATCTGATTGGTTTAATTAATGGACAAATCAAGATAATGTAAAATCTACTACAAAATAGTAAAGCAAAATAAAATAAAGTAGGATTTACTAAAAGTGAAATTTAATCTATATTAGTTTTCTGATGTTTCTTTGCTTCATAATTTATTATAATGAAAATAATTGCACTTTTTGTAAGGTATCTTGTTAATTTATATATTTTAAAGCAAAAAAGTAGCCTTGTTTAGATATGATACACAGTCAGATTTCTACATTACAAACTTATACTTAGTGAATTTCTCTATAACAATTTTTTTAATTTGTAAAAACTAAACATTTTAATCATTAAAAGTTGATTACTCTATCTGGGTCAAGGTTGAATTTAAGTTCAATTTCAGGTATCAATCTGTAAACCCTTAATAAAACATGGCCCAGGTGTGAGAAATGCTGATCGTTAGCTGTTAAAACCATCATGTAATTCCCAAATGGCTACCGGTTGTAAAGAAGAGCGAGAGAGATTATCTGTCAGTGCAGGCATTTAGACTAAATGATTTACAATTAACAAATGTTTTAGAGTTACAGTATTTCTTAGTAATAAGTTACAGTATTTCTTAGTAATACAAGTTACAGTATTTCTTAGTAATACTGTAACTTGTAGTTAACATGCTTATATTGAAAAAAATTACTGTACTCTATAAATTTTTGGATGACTTGGAATGCATTCCTATTCACTTCATAATACAGTACAATGGATTAATTTTGTGCTGATTTCATTTATGCTGCTTCCTCTGGGAATGATTAGAGCAGCCTGTATAATGAATATTAATATTGTTGACGTTTTTTATCATACAGTACAGTAACTAAGAAAGCAGTCTTACTTCTGGAGGTAGCTGAGATGAGTCATACCTAAATTGTTTTACAGTATTAAATGCTATGTAAACTTCAAAGGAAATTTCATAAATTTGTCTATCAGAGTTCTTAGAAACATAAGAAAGTGAAATTAAACTTTTCAATTTTATTTTAACTTCAGGTTTGAGAGTGAATGATTGTATACTGTAGTACAAAAATCTCAAAGCAAAAGTGTTTAAACATTACTAAAAAAAATTAATGCATTGCTGAAAGTTAATAAAGACTCAAAAAAGCATTGCAGCAAAGTTTGTAATTCTTGTGAGTAGTTTATCAACCATAATAAAAAAACTGCAAATGACTTTTTGAAATTAGCTGAAAATGTAAGACCTACAACAAAACATGATAGAACCAGTGATTTATGTCAAGGTAGATGAAGCAGTTTAATGCTCTTAATAGATGGGAAGCATTTTACGAAGACAGAACATTTTTTAAAATTGTTCTGTACAATATATTTTTTTACGAAAATGTAGTTAAACTAATTTGTAAGTATTTTAACACACTTAAAATTAAAATTACATTTCTATTACTTTATTACTGAATACAGTAGAGCTTCGAAAACTCGGCCTAATGTAGACCGAAGGGTGGCCGAGTTTGTGAAAATGCCGGGTTATCGGGAATGGGGTTAAAGAAGGATAAGTATGCGTGTTTCCTCAGAAAATATTGTACTGTACTTGTATGTATTGTTTGCTTGAGAATACAACAGAGAATAAACTGTCCAAATACCCTTAAACAAAGGAAAAATAAGTCCTTTATGAAGGCATAGAGCCTTTACTACATGAAAATAAAAATTAATGAATACACCGTGTACAGTAATTTACCTGATAAGACAGACCTGAGAAAAATACTTTATGAGGCATAAAGCTGTCTATAATGAAAATTACTTAACTAAGGATTTTTTTTTTTGCCCTGCCTAGGTGTGGCTGAGTAATCCGGAGTGCCGGGTTATCGAGTGCCTACTGTATTATGTTTACATTAATTTATGTAAAATAATGAAAAATTACAATAAAATAATAGTTTCTTTACCAAAAAGTGTTATTTCTGTATAACAAAATTTCCCTATAGTAAATTTTTTCAGGATTTAGCAACTTTATCATATAGAAGTATAGAAGTTTGATTGTAATTTAGTGTTGTTATCTCATGATAATTAACAAGTTTAATATATTGTTAATATGTAAAAATAAATTTATTATACTTCAAAAAAATAAATTAAATAAAATATACTATTAATATAAGACAAAAAAATGTTTTACAAATATATAAAAATTAGTAATTCTGAATCAAAAATTAAGGAAATATGAATTAGTAATTCTGAATACTGTACAGTACTGTATAACCATTTTTCGGCTTTTAGGCCCCTATTGACTTAACCATTGCACTTCCCACTCTACAGTTGAATCAGCCCTCATACTCAACATTTGTTTGTGATTTGCGAGTTAGGACACTACCTTTTAACTATTATTATTCCGACGACAATTTAGCAAATGGACCGTTTATTTTGAAAGTGGTGTAAGTCCATTTTTGGAAAAAATTGAGAAAACACATAATATACATACAATTTAGTGTGAACTTTTTATTTATAAACAATTCACACTTAACATTTTAAAATAACCATAAGCTTTGATCAATTGAAAATTTATCGATAAATGACATTGCATAACCATTGATTTTGAAAGTGGTATAAGTCCATTTTCTACAGTCTAAGCACTTGGGCTATCCATAAATTACATGTGCATTTTTCTTGAAATGTTTACTTTTCCCTCTTGTCCCAGTTTGTCCAAGTTTTTGTAACCCCTTTCCCTCTATGGATGTCCAACATAACTCTATCCCTGTTAAAACCTTCATCACTTTATGAATGATAGATACCATAAGTAGAAATGAAACATACAACAAACTTTGAAATAAATATAATAAAATGCATATTGTATAAAATTTAATGAAATAAATGGATGTCCACTAATACTCAACCCTCCTTGTCCAACTTGTCTTAACCCCTCCCTCCCTTTCAGTGTGGACATCATTTAAAGACAGCCCCTTACAACAGAAGAGTAAAACTGTAAATATTACCAACAAATGTACAATTTGATGGACTAGAAAAAAATCCATGTAATGAATCTAAATGAAAAGCAGTGTCTAATGGTAAGCTCATAATAATGATAAATTTATCATAAAATAGTTTAACAATAAGTAAATATTTTTAATGTTCAGAATAAACAATACTATTTTATTTCTTGTTATTATATATGAACAAAATCAGAATAAAACGCAATGTGTTTCAAGTGACATTGAGTTTTACATAATAGAAATTTAATGAATTTTACAGTTTAGTAATTATGAAAGTGGTGTAAGTCCATTTATGGCCCAGAAAGAATATATTAGTTTGGATAAATTCACATAGAAGTCTTTATGCAATCAACTTACATATTTCTAAAGTCATAGAAACATTGTCAAACTTAGTACACTTTGTTTATATTTTTGAATCAACTAAAATGCAAATGTTTAAATATCTCGAAAGAAGAAAAAATGGACTTACACCACTTTCAAAATAAACGGTCCAAATAGCCATCCAGTAACAAAGTGAATGGGTCTTAAACTCAAGCTTAAACTTTAATTTAAAGGGGTAAAACAAAAAGAATATTTTAGTTTTTAATGTTTAAGCTAGGGTTTAAGCCATAAGCAATAAATAACAATTTTTAGTTATATATAGGGTCTTGCAACATGAGGTATTTTAAATCAACAGAAAAATGCAATATTTTCATGAAAAGTGGCAATATTTTTATTTTAATCTAAAGTACAAACTCTGAGATTAGTATCACAGATATAACAATATCTGCCAAATATCCGCCTCAGCTCTTCTTACAAACGGTCATTCTTTTGATGAAATTTTAATCACGTTTTTGCATAATAGTGGCTGTAATATTGTCTTTGAGTGCTTGCTGGAGCACTGGTGTATACTTTACCTTTAATGTAGCTCCAAATAAAAAAGTCTAATGGTGTTAAATTGCATGATCTTGGCAGCCAATTGAAGTCTCCATTTTCGAGAAATCACAAGTCCAGGAAATTTTTCATGCAATAGAGCCATTGTTTCACAAGCTGTGTGACAGGTGGCGCCGTCCTGTTGAAAATAAATGTCGTCTGCATACATAGCATCAATTTTAGGCCAAAAAAAGTCAGTCAACATCATTTTTCAACTCAGTCAGTCAGTCAACTCGGTTTTCAGCCACACTCTCACCTACACTCTCAGCAATCGTTCTCAGCTACAGTGGCAATATTTCCAGATGACCTGGCCAGACTAGCATGAGTTGGAGTCATCACATCACTAACTTGTCTGAGATGTTCAAATTTATTGATTAAATTCACTGTAGCTGTGCAAGATGATGACCAAAAGTAGTACGAACTTTACAAACTGTCTCCGCTATATTTTCAGCATTTTTGTAGTGAATTTTCACTATTTCAATGCATTGTGCAACTGTGTATTGATCCATATTTGAAAACCTCCTAGTTTTTACTTGTCAAATGTCACCACAATGACAGATATATGTTGACAGTTTAAAAATGGCACAAAATTTAAAATGACACCTCTTGTTGAAAGACCCTGTATAAGGCAATCCACAATCTGCTTAATAAAAAAAAAAAAAAAGTAAAATGGCGAAACCGTATTCGGGACAAGACTATGTCTCGAAGACTCACTACTAATGTGGAATCAATTTGACGCTCAAGGCGGGTCTTGTTTTCATTCTCCAATCTTCTTTGGTATTGCTGCTTTGGGTGCAATCGTTCAAACTACACCAGCCACGACCACAAGGTTGTCCACGATACATTTTCAATGAAATTAATCTATCCAATTTCAAAATTTCTCTCCATTGCATGTCGGCCCAAATAGAATTTTTGTCAATGTGTAATGAAAATTTCCTGTTTATGAAAAAATAATCGTGGCTATTGTATCGTCCAAAATTAATTTTTTAATTGGCACAAACAATATACACTTAAACCCGATTATACTGTCATCGGATGTAATGACAACCCTAATATAATGTCAAATTTTTATTGTTTCTATGATTTTATACTAGATAATGTTAAAAAACCTACTTGTAACAACATAAAACTATGTTTTAATGTCATATTTGAAGCACTCCCAAATTTACAAAATTAGATTACAAATTTTATTTAACACAGAAAATACTACATGTTAAGTCTTAGGATCATAGTCCACTTCCTAAAACACTGTGGGTGGTACTCTCACCACCTGACTTCGGTTTGCCTGTTTGTAGAGAGAGTCGCCATTTTGTATTTTATTTTGACTTGATTCTCAGTCCCGAGTACCCACAAGTCTGGTTTTTTTTTTGTGTGCATGATAAGGGTATCTAATACTCTGTGCCAAATTGCAACTCCTAACATGTACTCCTTCATACCTCTAAGCAAGTAACACAGCAAGCAGTACAATTTTATAAACAAGACTAGTCTTGTCAAAAATCTGCTTTAAGAAATAAAAATTTTGCTATATTATGTTTTATGACAAATTTTCTGCTTTGTTCTGCCTGATTTATTATTGTTTTAAATTACACTTGTATTCATGCACACAAATTTTATTTGCATTTTTATTACTTTACCTGATTCTCAATAATTTACTATATATCTTCATCTGAATCCAATAGATCTAAGTTGAACATGAGGCAAATATGAATTGTCCAAACTTTCCTTGGTAAATGATGATCTCTTTGGTGAGAGATGATGGTTCAGGATAGAAAAACTCCTCTCCACATCTGCACTGCTACCAGGAACTGACAGAGCTTTTAATAAAGCTCTGCCAGTTCCAGTTTATATAATAAAATCCACGCCTTGTATATGTCTCCAGCAAGAAGAATTTGTATAACAAACGTTTCGGTTTATTTTATAATCTAAAGCAAATTTATAACCTGCTTCAAAAATATAGAACTTTTAATGCCAGCTGATTCAAAACCTGCATTTCCCTGATAGAGTGCTTCCAGAAATTTAGTATATCATTGCACACTTCTCTGTTTTCATTATTGATCAAAGCATTGTAGTATGCTATCTCTTCCTTCAGTACCTCTTTTTTTTGGAGAATCTGCATAAGTTATACTGCATATGAAGTTATACTGTCCATTGCTTGGTGCATGGTTATGATTTGGATCTAGGACTTCCAAGTTCTTTCCAGAATTGCCATATTGCATGTTTGCCATATAGATAAAGTTGGAGTTTAAAACCCATACTGAGTGGTACCAACAGTTCCTGAATACCTCCAAGATTTTGTCAAATATCACTTCCTACAACACTGGATTTAGAGCCAGGCTGTGACTCCAGTTTCTTGATCAAGTTGCATATGGCTTCAGTTTGGCTTGCAAGCATGTAGCTGTTCTTCAAGTTTGGACTTGAAGAACAGCTACATGCTTGTTACATACAGATCAAGTAACTCTCAGAGTCTTGCAATGCAGCCTTCTTCCATAGCCTGATTTTCTCTAATCTATGTCACTATAGCATCCCACCTCTTATGATAATACGAAACTGCTTCTAGCCATGTCCCCATCTGAGAGTAATAACTAGTACAGATGGCAGTGCCAAAGAGTGGTTCTTACAGCTATCTGCAACAAATGCCTTCTGTTTGCTGCCTTCACCCAAAATAAAACATTCAAGATGCTGTTCTTAGTGTGCACTTCTACAGTGATTAAATATGTAAGACGTGCCCAGCACGTTGTGTGGAACAATCTCGTGAATACTGGCTTAAGTTTCAAAGCAGTAGCATTCATGTATGGAGTGCTGTCTGTCTAAAGTCCAACAAAATTGTCTAACTCAACATTCAAAAGTTTGAGAGATGCAAACACTTCTTTGACAATGATATCACTGTTGCACTTCTTTACAATCTGTGATCACACTAAACAGGATGGTTTGTAAGTTCAAGACATACAACCAATGTATTTACAATTTTCCTGTTTTTTCACACAGACTCATCTACAGTAGTATCAGCAGAATGTCAGCATGTCAACACATTTGTGCAGTAGTGTCTAAATCTTTGTTTCCAATACTGGGGAGAATCCTGCACAAAAAGCTTTTGCTAGGCAAGTTATCACACAGAGATAGTTTTAAATTAGACTTCAACCACTTTTGGAAACCCTTTATGACAAAACACGTGCAAGGGTATTACCACAGAATAGAATATGGAAAATATGGAAACCATGTCTTGCCATCTTCAAGGTTTACTTCTGGAAAAAACATGTCTAACTTGACAAGTTCCTTAATTCTGGTTTATCTTGATCTATTCAAAAATTTCTGCTTTATTGCTTAATAACTTTTATGTAATAATTAAAAATGGTATGGTATGCACTCATTTCACAGTTTCATAAGCAACGGATGATTGTATTCAGATATTGCTTTATCTGTTTTTGGGTTGCCTTAGTTATATAGAATGAACAGCTTTTTACAATCTGGCAATGTTAATGGCACCACTTGCTGCCATTCACAGATAAGTTATTCTAATTGTTTTTCTCCATTTATTATTATAATCTTCTCACTTTTAGCTCCAGCCATGGTACTAATTAATAAAACAAATGCTTCTCATTGTGTAAAGTGCAAACATTATAAATTGTTCATAAAAGATACGATTAACTTCTGAAGAAACTCGGATGTGTCTGGGAAAACTTTGTGAGAGTTATACAGTATTGGCTTTTTGACAATATATGACAACGAAAAATTACTCAGTTTCTTTGTTAACAGTGATTCAAAGAAATAGATGTGTAAAAGAAGAACAATGAACGACAGAAAAAAATTCAGAACTACATCAAGTTCTCATGAAATGGATTAAGCCATGTATAAGTGAAGGTGTTGAGCTGTCTGGAGACCTAGTGATAGAACAAACCAAAATTTTTCATGAATAACTAGGACTAGATTAATTTGATTATAGCAAAGGTTGGCTATACCATTTCAAGGATCAACATTGCAAGTTTCATGCATTATGGTGAAAAACATTAAGCAGACAACAAAACAGCTGCTAAATTTGTTTAGACGTTCTCTTAGTTTCAGATGAAAAATCAAGTGCTGAGCAGGTCTACAATGCAGACAATACAGCATTGTATTGGATATGTACTGTACATCAAGAAGAACCCTGACAATTAAAAATGCAGAATCACCAACAAATTATAAAGCATCAAAGATTGTGTCACTATACTGGGCTGCTCTAATGCTACAAGAATGCACAGGTATAAGTTGGAGGTCATCAATATAATTTTACACCCAAGGCTTTCAAAGGTCTGACATTATCTGGTGACATACTGTCAACAAAAAGGATGATAACTGACATTACATTGGATTGGCTTGAAAATTATTTTGTTCCCAAAACAAGAGCTCACTATGACACTAATGGCCTGGCCTGGACCATAACTATAGAGTAACACTTATTTTAGACAACTGTTCTGCACATCTGAAAGCAGAACACCCGGTAAAAAGTAACATTTTTAGCAGCTACCTTCCACCTAACTACACAATTAATTCAACCTCCAGGCAATGGCTACAATAATATGTTTATAAAAAAAGTACAAAGTATCAATTATATACTACAATTTCTATATATATAAAACTAACTCAATTTGTGATGTGATATATAAAGCACTGTGATTCAATAATAACTTTCATATAATTAAACATTAACAATCTTCAAGTTTCTAACTAATATAACAATAAAGTGTTTGTAATCCTAAAATAACAAATGCATTTTTGACTCTATGAAACTTAACTGAATTTTTAATGTTTTTCAATAATTGTTAAGAAATAATTAACTTTTTAGTATCTAAAATACTTACTGTCACTGCATTGATATCAGATTCATGACCAGGAAATGTTTGCTTGCACATTCCATCTCTGATGTCCCAAAGCTGTAAGTAAAACACATTTAAATAAAGAATAAGTTATTGAAGACTATAATTACAATAATAATGATTATGATAATACCTTTGCAGCAGCATCACAGGCTCCTGAAACGAATGTTCTCAAATCTGGAGCTACAGATAAAGACATTACATCACCAGTATGTCCAGTAAATGATGTACATTGCTGACCAGTTTCTATATCCCAAAGTGCACTGTTAAATTAAAAACACATTAATTTTCAACTAATAGTAAAAAAAAGTGATCATACATTGAATAATTGTAGTGACAACAAAATCAAATTATAATACAGAGTTTCTATTTTACGATTAATAAAACAGAAACTCAGTATTATACTTGTAATTTATGTATTTTGTTAAACAAAAGAAAAATAAATAAATAAATAAAAACTTAGAATATGTAAAAATTATGTATTTATACATACAGTCAAATCCCTCTGTAGCAATATTTACCAGAATAAGAAAAATATTGATACAGAGAGATTTATTGCTACAGATAGCCCTCGGTTTATGCTGCAGTTCCATTCCTACAAAAGCCGACACAAATCAAATTGGCATAAAATGAACCCATATTTACACTGAGTTATAGGGTTAGGTTCTACATAAGTGAAAAATAAGCAAATAATTTTGTTTATTAATACAATATAATACAAAATACATATAAATTTAATTTTTAAAATGTATTTTATGATAAAATAAAGTGAAATGTTTTTATTAAAAAATCTTAAGGAAAACAAATAATATTTCAAAGTTTTGGATCTCACATTTAAAAAAAAAAAATCCATCATTAATTGTTTAAATTTTTGTTTTCTTTCATTAAGAATTTTGGAATATGGCCGAATGGATGTGATGGTGCTCCTTTTTACATTTGCACTTCGCTCCCAATCGCTGTCTAACTCAAAGTTCATCCGTCAAACTTTCCATAGTTGAAAGGATAGGATTTAGATAGACTGTTTTCATAACTCTTGGAGTTTCTTCTTCGTTTTCTTCCTTCTTTGACTGTTCATGATCTAATTCTTTGTATAATTCTTCTAAGTCTTCATTTGAGAGTGGCTGATCATAGGTTTCTAAAAGTTCTGTTACATCTTCCAATCCCACATTAAGTGCAAGCCTGGTAATGTCTTCAATTAAATTCTCCTGATGTGCTACTTTAAAATCATGCATGAATTCTGGCAGTAGTTTACACCAAACTCCATTTAAGCATTTTGCTGAACAAGCTGAATCCCAAGCTGACTTGATGTTTTTAATGCTTTTCAAAATATCAAAAGACAACCAATAGTCTTTAACTGTTTTGTCTGAAGTGTCTAAAACTCTAATACATTCTTGGAAATGATGAGAGTTAATAAGCTTTGAAGGTTGCAATAACCACTTGATCCATTGGTTGCAAAAGAAATGTTGTATTGGAAAGCATGTAAACAACCCTGACATACAATGGTGTTCTTATTTCATCAAGGTTTCGAGGATGTCCTGGAGCATTGTCCAAGAGAAGTGCCTTGGGTGGTAATTTATTTTCTTCTCAAAAGCAAAGCACAGTAGAGCAAAAATAACTTTTGTACCAATCTGTGAAAACATCTTGTATGACCCAAGCTTTCTTGTTCCATTTCCAATAAAATGGCAACATGTCTTTATTTAGACTCTTTAAAGCATGTGGTGTCTGTGAATGATACACTAACATTGGTTTAAGTTTCAAAGTTCCTGAAACAAAAGGGTTAATCTATCTTTCTCAACTTTAAAACCTGAAGCGGAACATTCTTAACGAGAAATAGAAGTTCATGCTGGTAACTTTTTCCAATAAAGCCCAGTCTCATCAATGTTGAAGATTAAGTCCAAAGAATAGTTGCCTTGTTCTACATAACCCTGAAATTCCTTAGGAAAAGCAGCTGCCGTCGCAACATTTGCACTTGCTGCTTCACCACACAATTTTTTACACTACGACAGTTACTTCGAAATTTAAATCTCATAAACCAACCCTTGCTTCCCAAAAAAGTTTCTTTCCCTCCATCTACATCCTTAAGATTATCAAGAATTGGTTTTGCTTTTTCAGTTATAAAAGCTTGAGTCAAGGGAATGCTCTTTTGATTTGCATCATCTACCCGTAATGATAATAATTTTTCTATTTTTTCAAAAATTTTACCTCTACTGTAACTCACATTTTACATTTACTGCCATAGACTGTTGAGTTGAGTGTTTAATTTTATCTTCATTTTTCATAATGGCAGTAACAGTCAATGGAGGTAAATTCAATGATCTATAGACATTAGGGCATGTTTGTCCATTTTCCATTCATCGAATAACTTCCATTTTTGTTTCTAGGGAGATAAGAAGGCATGGCAATCTAACATTTAAAAATACTCTGGTGCACTTCTTTTATCTGACATAATAACCCTCCTTTATTCTTGTATATGTGGGTACCTAAACATTTAGTATTTTAATATTAATTTAATGTAAATGTATACATACCCAATAATATTAAGCAGAAGAAATAAATATATTCAATAAAAATCTTTGTTTTAATGAATATATAATGTCACAGCTCAGTAAATATGTCAACACTGAAACGAAAATCAGTTTATCATAGGGAAAATCAGAGAATTACATGGTGAAATGCACAATGGCGTTATTGTGAATTGGCATAAAGCAAGCGCTACCTGTATATTGAAAATTTTTAAAGAAGTATTCCCTTCCTCATTTTTAATTAATACTGTCAAACTACAAATAAGTAGTGTCTGACGAAATATTCAGCCTAAAGCAGAAGAATTTGCCAATTTGTAATTCCTTTTGAACTTTGATGTCAAGACTAAATATCTATTTTTAACAATTCACATTTTTTTAATGTGCTAAGAACAATGTTAAAATTTGAGAGCTGTAATTCAAAATAATACTAATACATGTCAGGCATTATTAAATTATTTCTTCCACTAATATAGCTACCAATCTTAGCTATTAATCAGGACTTATCATACCACAATCAACACAATGACTAGATTAGAAAAAAACGTCTTTATTCTTTTAATAACCCCAATACTTATATTTTGGGTCTATAAACCTCTCTTCAGTTGGAGTAAATCATTTTCATTACCATGTTCAACTGAGAAGGGATGCCATAGACCCATAGACACAAAATATGCATTTTGGAGTTATTAACAAATAAAGACGTTTTTCTAATCTAGTCATTGTCTTGATTGTGGTATGATAAGTCCTGATTAACAGCTAAGATCGGTAGCTATATTAATGTTAGAAAAAATATAGAATTAAAGGACAAGAAGTTTTTTATACAAAATTAATAAATTATAACTATATCTCGCCTTATGTTGGTAATTGGTTCCAGGAGAGGCGACTTAAGTTGAAAAACAACGTAAGTCAAATTTACTTGTCACTAGGCTAAACCACAAATAACCATTCCCAGTTCTGTATTTTATTTATAAATGCATTTTAATAATATATGGTTAATAAGAATCTATTTTAAGCTTACAAACAAATAAAATTTAGTTTTTAATATAGTACAGAAAAAAGTAATCTAAATTTACGAATTCATGTATGCACAGTACATACTTGTAAATGTACATGTTTACAGCATATCGCGGACTCTTTATTTGTGAATGTGGTTTGCTCTAAGACATTATAAAATATGATGATTTTGTAAGGTTAAATAACAAATACAGTTATTAAAATTATCTTGCGACAGTAGAAAATAAACTAATTTATATTAAATTTACCAATATCGAGTGGTGCTGACAACGATGCCAAACAGTAGATATTGGAGCTACCGTGGAAAACACCAATACTGAGCTCTTAAAGACAGCTAAATAAGATGACAGCACAAACAGATGTTTTCATGTTTCGTTCTCTAGGATTTTTGATTATATTAACATTTACTGTAAATGTACATATTTTAATATGATTTTATGTTCTTTAACGCATTTCTAGTGATATTACGACTTCAATATTTGTGGCGGACGAACATAAAGTCGAATAAAATGACTTAAACTTGATTTTTATTTTTCCATACATTTTTTGACAAACAATGTATAATTGAGAACTACATTACTTGAAGTATACCTGTATTTTATTTATTTCTTATTTCAAAAAATCAGTTTCTTGTATACTAAAAATAATCATTCCTTTTAAGATAATTTTGTACTGCAAAGCAATAAACTAAAAACTAATGAGCAATTATTTATTGTGACATTGTCACAATGCCAGGCTGCAATTTTTAATAATATTTTTAATTAATTTAATTTAAAATGCATGCTCTCCACCTCAAATTAGTGGTGGCTTGCCCCTGTACATCATACCTTTCTTTTAACAATAGGGTTATGCCAGTCATCTTTGTAACTCCTTTCAGGGAAAAATTTTTTAATTGAAATAACTTTACTTCTGGTTTGCATAAGGAGTTCATATATAGCTAATTGGGACTCCTGTCCCTAAGGTTTCCATATTTAATCTCATTTTTCATCTAACTAACTCCATTCTTGAGATTAACTCCATTCTTGAGATTAAGGAAAGAGACAAATGCAGTGGGAATTTATAGGTCTACAATTTTCTCAAATTGCAGCCCCAGCAATCAGTCAAGTTTCTAAAAGTCATATCAAAACAGAACTAAAATTATAATATATCTAAACAAATGAAAATATAAGGCACTTTAATCAAACAGTGAGTGAATAATGAAAGTAAATAATTTAATATATATATATAAAATTTCTTGACATTCTGGCCACAAATTAGCTCTTCTCATTGTAAAGTTGTCCAGAAGCACTAAATAACTGTTCACTCATAATGCTAGTCAGAGGTGCAGATATATATTTTTTGGTTCCTTTTTTTCAAATAGTAATAAAGACTTGAAATCCAGTGATAAAAGATGCTGGCATTCCTAGTAAGCAAAGGTTCTTTTAAACAATATTTCAGATTTTCATCAAAAGAAGGAAAATCTTCTGAACATGTTCATTCAGATGATGATGGCAAATCATGCAAGTCCCAAAGATTTTCCATATCTTGTGTTTGAGATTTTGAAGTTTAAGGTACAAGCACAACATTCATATTGTTTAAGATAAGATTCTTTATCTTTATGAAAAATCATTCCAAATATCATCATAACACAGATATAAGAACAAATAAATGAAGTATAATACTTACATAAGCAATCATATGTCACTTGGTAATAATTTTTTATTTTATTAACACAATATTGAAATGCATTAAAGGGCAGTAAAGAAGATGCAGTTACCTGTTGGCTTTTGCCACTATTATCTGTGTGTAAGCAATACCAATTAGTCAATTACACATTAAATGAACCTTTGGTTTTCGGGAAATCTTCAGTCTGATTTTGACCTAAGCTAATTACAGTAGAACCCCTATAACATGGTAGATACGTTCTGTTTTATATGAATTCCATGTTTTACAAGTCACTTAAATACATGAGCCAATCACAGCCCGGCACGTGTGCAGTTTAGGGACTACAGCTGTTTGAAAGGTTTTCTTCCATAAAATTAATAGATTCTAGACTAATTTGACTCAACATTTCCAAAACACACATAATTTTTTGGGAATAATCCATATAAATTATGCCATAAACAAAAAATTATAGGATTACTTACCAAGTGTGCACCGTTCGATGACGCAATTGCTTAAGCTTGTTTTCACTGCGGAGCATCAAACGGCATGTTTCCTGACAAGTTACTTTTTTGCGAAAAATTTGCTGAACTTTGGAGACATCATTACAATAAATATAATTTTTATGGCCATTAAGTAATAAAAGATTTTTAGTAGGTCCTCTGCTCATTTAAACTCAACGGTTTGTGCAATATCCACTATTGGTCTAGATTTGACCAATCCTGTCATGACATGAGTCGGCGATGACGTTTTACCATATTATACAAGTATCTTTTAGCATGTTTATACGAACGCAATTGCAATTTTTCGCCGTGTTATATGAATCTGTATTATATGAACTTGTGTTATATGAATCTGTATTATACATATAACATCTGTATGAACTTGTGTTATAGGGAGATCTACTGTATTTTAGTAAAGGAATAATTTTTGGCCAAAGGTGACAGAAGCTGATTATTCAGTGAGATGATATAAATACAGTTAATTCTACAAAGTTACACAAAATTAGAACAGAATACTAAACATATATTATTATTAGTCTCCTCTAGTACAAGATATAAGTGATTTTATTGCAAATATAATTGAATAGCCTGATTAATTAATTAATACCAAATGATCTATCTCACAGATTGCATTGGATTATGCTAGGTAATATAGCAGATCAAACAATCTACTGTATTACCTGTTTTATTGCATATTATTTCAACAGTACATGCTAAATATCAAAATCTAAAATCAGTCAAAGCCTTAAATCTTCCTAGACAGAATTACTAAGTAAAACTAAAATTAAACACTAATTCTAAAATATAATTTCTTAAGGAGAATGATTTTTGTAATTATTTCAATAAGTATAATTTGCAACACTAGTAAGTGCCTGGGTTTACAAAAGGTTTTTGTACATATATTATTGCCTTCAAATTCAATCATCAGATCTAAAAAATGAAAGCCATTACTATTCAACTAATACAAGTAACAATATCAGACCACAATTATTATTGTTGAATTTGTGAAGAAACTAATTTGGATATTTGTTTAACAATCAGCATAAAAAACATACAGTACGCCTAATAAGCAACAGATATAAGCAAAAAGATATTAAAGATAAGATGATAGAATATTGACCAACGTTATACTGTGTTTTTGCAGAATGACTGGCATTCTGCATAAAAATGGAGACGACCAGCATGCCGGTTAAACAGCGACTAGAATATAAAATTAATCAGATCTAACAAAACTAGTTGTTAATTAAATGTTAAAGAAAACATTCTTCCAAGTACAATAAAATAACATTGTAATTTGACTGACTTAAAATCAGGAAGAGTTTTCATTTACAAGACAATAAAACAATTAACGACTTATTGACAGCAGCAGCAGCAAATCAGTGTGGGCTAAACTGATCATTTACCCTGATCTTAAAAATAACACCTTCCTCTTAAATTTCACAAAAAGCCTTTTTTTTTTTTTAAAAAAAAACTCTTTCTGCCCTGTGGGCACTAGAAAGGCCTCTTTTAGCAAGCCCATTATGGGTTTGGCCAGGCCCACAATGAGGCAGCCAGGTGGTGAAGGATGGGGCCTTGACATATCCAGATGAACCAACCTCCAAAAAATTCCTGGGGATTTATCAATCTGTCTGGATTCAAACCCGGGTTCCCCCAGAGCAGTAGGCTGCCACCCTGACCACTTGGCCATTGGCTGAGGTAATTAGGAAGCTGGTGTTAATCAGTGTAAGATGAGATGATTTATGGCGAGTTTCTTAAATTTAATCTGTTTATTTTTGCATTTTGAATCAAATAACAATAAAATACACATAAAAAGCATTTTTAGAATTCCAAGATTATTTTGTCATTAGAAAGAAGACAAAGTGAAGTAATTAAACATATAAGCATATTTTTTGATATAATGCTGACAGTTTCACAATTTTAGAATAAAAACTTGTTTTTTAATACACCCTCTAGAGAGTAATGTATCATTTAAACCAGCATGCAGGTTTTTACCATATGGAAATATTTGATTTCATGATCTTCACCAGACAGGCCAGCATGCTGGTCATTCTGCAAAAATACAGTAAGAATATATGATTTAGATTAAAAATAGTTGCCAAATTGTTTAAATTTAATAAATTAATTTAAAATATTCTGGAAGAGAGTGAAGAAGTGTTTCTTCAAACTGGAGAAGTCCAGTTTGAAGAAACACTCAAACCTGCAACTACTGCTTAATTGAAAATGTATTAAAGATATTGTGGAATTGTAAATACAATTACATATCTTTAATACAGGCATACTCCAAGGCAGCTTTGCACTAAACGTGTTGAGACAATAAGAAAGAAAGTAAAAATTGTTTTTTTATTAGCAAATTTATAATCATCAATAGAATAGTTTGTAATGTACAGTTGAAATCAAATTTACTAAACTGAAAAACAATATTAGAATAAATAACGCTAACTCTATTAAATGAATACAATGTGAATAAAGCAAAGAAAAAGAAGACTGGAGCCTAGGAGCCATTTAATTGGAGTGCACAGGTTTTTTAATCTCACTGAACTTGTGATTAGAATAGTTTGTTTTCATAATTATTGAATATTTCCTTTCATAAATTCAAAAGAGAGATAAAATAGATTGTTATATCAAGTTCTTGGTTATTAAGCATGCATAAAGCAGCGTCTCCGTATACTGAATATAAATATTATAAATACAGTATAGTGTTTCCCCAGGATAACTGCAAATTTCTTTATGAACACCACTTAATTACAAAACAATACTTATAAAACCAATTTGGGGAGCATCGTAGTAAAAATATAAAATAAAATACTCTAATTGAATTATAGTATTATTGAAAGAAAAAATCTCCAAAATATTTCAACTGCTAGTTATGTATATTTAACTTATATTTATGGACATTTATTTAATGTTTTATTCTTTTTTTAACTTATCGCCATTTAAGGGTCAAACAAAATAAAATTATGAAATAAAAAATTACATGCAAAAATGGAAAAAGTGTTTATATTTATTAAAAACATTAAATTGATAATGACAAATTGTTTTCACTTACCAGGTCATATCACCAGAGCTTGTGACTATTTGATTATCGTCTAGAAAACGGCAACAAGACAGATAACCTGTATGGCCAGGTAGCTCTCTGCTAACTCGTACATTTCCCTCTCTAGTTTTTAAACTATAGATCGAACAAATATTGTCCAAACCACCACAAGCGACATAGCTACCTGATGGTGCATAGGCACAAGTCATTACCCAACTTGATCTTAATGGGATGGCATGAACCTAAAACAAAGAATTTTAATATTGTTATTAAAACAAAATAATTTTATATAAACTTAAATTGTTTAATCAGAATGAAAATTCTATTAAAAAGCCTATCACATATGTCAAATTGCTGAATTATATAGAACTGTCTTTTTACTCATTGATTATTAAACATTGCTCATTAATTTATTGACAGATGAATGTTCTTGGGATTATATTCTGGCTTCAGATTGTTTGGTTAGTCAATTCTTTCTGTATTCATCATTGAGTAAAAACATTACCTTTGATGTAACAGTTAATTAGAAACATTTTATTACGTATAAAGCAATATAAAATATAATGTTATAAAATGTGCAAAAACTAATCAAACTTATGCAATTCCAATTTTTTTTTAGCAGTTATGAAGAAGGAAAAATAATCTCATTGTTTAATTAACACTAGTTTGGACTTTGAAAACATCATAATCTTTGTTATATGAAGTTTAATTTTAAGGATGTAACTAGAATATTTTAATAAACAAAACTTACTCTAACACCTTGTAAACATGCAGCCAAATTTATTAACTTCCTAACATTTTTGGCCATTTTAAATGACCTTTTATCAAGAAAAAAACTTTAAAATTCAAACACAGTACATTTGCACAAACGAACAGGCTTTTTGAATGTTTTTGAATGATATTCTATTGAACATTAGGTGCGCCATCTTTATCAATATCTAATATTAAAACATGAAGATGAAATAAAAAGCATAAAAATAAAATAAAATCGGGACCATAAAGAGAAAATAACCACAAAACATTAAAAAGAAATTAAGACACCTGAAATATAACATATAACGTAACACAGGCATATAGTAATGTAAAAAGCATTTGAGCTGTCTGTTTCTTAAAATGGCATTTTATACTGTATCCGTTTCCTCTGTATAATAGGGTTTATATCAAGCTTGAACACCATGCTACCAATACTTTAGATGATTCTCGAAAGTTGATGGAGAAACCTTTTTGGTTGGCTTTACAGATCTGCCATGCTTCCGTTTAACGACAGTGCTTAATGTCCCAAACTACTTATATTAGTCTTGCTTGGTCCCATTCGGCTTTGACTTCTTGGGGGTCGGCTAAATCGTAAGTGGCCAGAGCTTTGCATGGTTGTTCACTTCTTACATTTCTTTGATGTTCCGCTATCCTATCCTTGATAGATCTTCCAGTGGCTCCAATATACATTCATTTATTTTGTCGCCGTGTGTCCGTAATGGGGATTTTATAAACTCCAGAAAGTGTGTTCCTGTCGGCCCCGTCTTTATCTGATCTTAGTAGTTGATAAATGGTAGGGTTCCTTTTATATATGATTCTTTTGTTTGTGGCTTTTCCAATGCATCTACAGATATTATTCAGCAATGCTCTAAATTCTATCATAGTAAACCCCTCGGTATTAGGTACTTTTCTTCTCTTGCAGCATTGGGTGGTAATAGCCTTAATATTGACCCTGTATGTCTTGGCTAGCTTATATATATAATTCAACTCTTCTGTTCTGTCCTGGGTATTGTTACAGTGTGAATGGGCTCTTGTGATGAGTGCTAGGAAAATGCTGCTAATTTATATGCTGGAGGGTCATGGGAGATCCAGGCGATAAATATCGGGTTGTAGGTGGGTTTTCGATAGACCTTCGTACGAAATCTCCTAGGTTGTCAAGTTGTATACATAGGTCCAAGAAATGTATCATCTTATCATTTTCCTGCTCGAGTTCTATCTCTACGCCGAATCTGTTATCATTTATGTCCTTTATGAAGTGCTGTATATTAGGTTTTACTTTCCAGAATATAACTATTTCGTCGACATATTGAGCGTACATTAGCATTTGCATTTCATATTTCGGCAATATTGCATTTTCTAGTGTTCTAAGTATCATCTCACATAATGAACCTGCAAGAGGGCTGCCCATAGCTACACCTTTCTGTCGAGTGTAAGTGACACCTTTGAAGTTAAATATTGATGAAAAAGTAGTAAAATGCACTAGCTCTAAAATCTGCTTTCTTTTCTTTTCTGGGGAGTTGATCTTGCAAAACAGGAGGTCTCTTAGATGACAAAAACATAGTTCCAGTTTAACAGACAAGTATAGTGCCTTGAAGTCCAACACCGTCATATATTTAACTTCTTGCAAATTTATATTAGCCATTTTATTTAAAAGCTCTACAGGTTGTTTGATGCTGTATTGATTCTTGGGAGCATATTGCCAAAAGAAGTTGTGTACCCACCTTTCTAGTAATATTGTGGGTGCGTTTCCTTTATCGACCACTGGTCTTAAAGCTTTATCATTTTTATAAGTTTTTGCAAACCCAAATAGCCTAGGGGTCGACGGTGATTAGACTATTATATTCTTGAGGCCCAGTTCTTTGGCCAATGGTAAAGTTGCAAACTTTTTAATTCTTGCTTGTAATTTCACCACGGCATTGGGGTGCGCAGTCGTACAGCAGGTATCTCTGATGTATTTTGACAGAAGATTGTCATATGTGCTTCTCTTCATAATTACTAGATCTTTTGACTTGTCGGCCCTTGTGAGCACTAGATTATTATCTTTCAGCCACTTTTGAGTTTTTCTGATATAAGACCAAATCGGTTCGCTGTTTCTTTTATGATTTTCATGCTTGATTTTAAGTGCAACTTCCCATCTGAACATTTCTTTCTTGATCTCATTCAGGCCCTCTAATGCCTGCTCAATATCCGGCATGAGTTTGTCGTGCTTAACTATAGATAGTGGGGAGTATTTAGGGCCGTATTTACATGCCTCATTCATGTAAGTAGGCAGGTTGATGCTGTCCCAGCATATAACCGTAGGTCTGATCCTCGTTTTATAGCGAGTTTCTTGGTGCTTTCTGATCCATGCCATTTTGTTCTTATATCTCTTCTTTAATCTTTCTGTCACTTGTGTAGCTAGGCTTATGACTCGTTCGTTAGCTTTTAAAACGTGAAGGTCGAGGTCATATAGTTCATTTTCTAGTTTGATTAGCTCTTTCAGCAGGAAAAACTTTCTCCTTCTTATGTTGTGGATAACTTTTCGTAAGCAGATGGTTCTAAGTTTAGGGTTTAGCGAGGCGCATCTGTGCAGTAAACATATTTGCCAAATCGACATTGGGAAGACATTGCGAGTTCTGCATTCTGTCAAAAACTCAAGCTTCGTGTCTAGTGCAATAGCCTTCAGCACCTCATTTACATAATGATTTTGCTGCCATAGTCATGTTGAAGCAATGTTTCATCAGGCTGTCCTCTTTTCCTCTTGATATGATATTTTTTAAAGCTTTTCTGTTTTGACATAATGTTCAGAATTGATTGCAGTCTTCTTCCAAAAGAACTGCTAATATAACCTCCTGAATATTCTAAAATGCATTTAAAAAAGATCATTCCCGCTGAAGGCAATACATGCCACCATGTCATAAAATACAATGGCATATATTATCATGTTGTGTGCACTCATTATTAAATATTTGAGCCTGCTTTATATCTCATGCTTATTTTTTTGATCATTTATATTGAGGCTGTAGAAGAAATACTAGCAGCACTTTTTAATTTCACTCTAGCAATTCTAAGTTGCCAAATTCTACAATATATTCATAACAAAGTATTCATCTAATATTATTTTTAGTAACAGTTTGATGTCAAAATAAAGTTACAATCCATTAAAATAACAGTTAAATTCTAGTTACTATCATAATGCTCTAAAAATATTCTCAAAACAAAAAATGTGCTTGAAAAAAAAATTGAAGTTGCTCTAAGCAAAAATGCTTAGGGCAACTGCCACAGAACATAGAATTTTCTGAAGATTTTTCAGGCAAAAAGCTTTGCCGTACTGTACTGTAGGCTAATGGGTAGTCTTTTGACAAGACCAAAAGACCAAAAAAAATGAGGGGGCAATGTGTAATTGAGAACACCGAATATTAACCCTGTTAAGATGCTGCTTTTGACATCTCAAACAAGTCAATAGGTGATGAAAGTTTAGAAATGCAAACTATGCACAAGATTGCAGGAAGATAGATTTTCCACAAGCTAGAAGTTCAGATGTGGCAATAAACTTATGTCATCTTGAACATTACCATAAAAAAAATTATTTATTGTATTATTGCTCTTGGTGAGACTTGGGGCAATCCTACAAATAAAGCTATCTAATGAATGGAACCATTACAGGATTTCCCAGAACAAAAAATTTCCATCTGAAGACTTCAAAATCAAAAGGGAGCATCCCTTTTGATTTTGAAGTCTTCAGATGCTGACTGCTGCATATGATGCTAAATGTAGAATCATATGCAAGCTGTACATCAACGTTAAAAAGTACATGCTATTTATTACATCTCCTTTCTGGATCATTATCTCTAACAGACAATCCAGCATAAGTATTCTCAGTCTTTTGTCAATACACCCATTATCCTGCACAATAATGCTCATAGCCATGCAGGCATGTAAAAGACCTGCTGAATTGGAGTTTGAACATCCACTATATTTCCTGGAAAGATTCTTATGATTACATCTTTTCAAAAATGAAAAATCCCTTTTGAAGAAAACAGTTTCCATCAGTACATAAAATTCCAAAAGGCCATTATCAATACCAACAATCAATCTGCTGATGGAATCCAGCACCTCCCAGACATTTAGGAACACATTAGCATACAGAAGGAACAATAATTTATAATTGCCAAAGTTTTGAATAAAAATAGTTTTTAAAATTCACATACAGGTATTGTTACTACTACTCTTTCCACAACCCTTGTATATCTCAGGCACCTCCATATTTCCTTGACTCTATGCATTTTCTTCTATAATATTGCAATTTCACTGTGTAAAAAGTATGGATATTCTAAAAAAAAACACTTTTATTGAAAAAAAAGTTTAATTTTTCTTAAAATATCTGGTAGGAATGCAGCTCAGTAAAACTTATGGGATAGCCATTTTTATATCCTGTAATATAATTCATTAACTAGTTTTAAAAGACAAAAGAAAAACAGATTGACTCTTATCCCAATGATTTATTTGTTAATATAATTTTGGTTTTAGCTGTAAAATAAAGCATTATTATTAAAAAGCAATCATTAAGAAATATGAATATTTACTGATTTACAGTGAACAACTGCATCATATACATCAATTATATTACAGTATTATACTTTATAAAAAGTTAATTCTATGATATAATTAGCATGTTAATAAAAAATTTTATGTCTTACTTTATTTGTTGAATATGAGTCCCATACTATAAGTTTACCATCTTGAGAAGCAGAAACAAGATGTCTGAAAAGATATTAAGTAAATTCATTCTTTATGAAAATTATCAATAATTAGTTTACTTTAAGTAACAAATGTAACATCTTCATACACACAATTACCAGCATAAAATTTTAACAGTAATGAGTACTTTCAGTGCAATTTGGTTACTTTCTCATTCAAGGAAACATGAGTTAGAGGGCATTGGGTTTAAGTTTATGAAACCAAGGGAACAATGGCTACAAAAAGTTTGTAAATTACTAATTGAAACTAAATCAAGAGTATTTTGTTACTATTAAATTTTTATCTTGTGATAAGGTATACAGATTTCATATATTTAGAACTTTATTGGTTCGTATATATGTTATCTTGAAAATTATACACAAATCAACAATTGATTCCTCTAATATCTACAAATGATTTTTATGCTGTAATGAACATTAAATATAAAATATTCATGACATTATTGTATACAATAAGCTTCATTAATTTAAAACAATTCAAAACATTAATGATTTAATGATTAAAAAAAAATTCATTATCTAAGTAATTATTTATTCTGTCATTGTCACAGTAAATAATTACTTCGAGGCTACAATTTTTAATCAATGTTTTAAAATTTATTTATTTTAATATATATGCTCTCCACCTCAAATTATCAGTGTCTTGCCCCTGTATAGTACATCATATCTTTCCTGTTAGAAATAGAATCATGCCAGTCATCTATGTAACTCCTTTTAGAGGAAACTTTTGAACTGAAATAACATGACTTCTGGTTTGTATCAGAAGTTCATATATAGTTAATCAGGGCATACTCCCTCTAAGCTTTCATCTAACTAACTCTGTTCTCAAGATTAAGGAAGGACAGACAGCCAGTAATTTGCTGTCATTTTAAATTGTAGACCTATAAATTTCCACTGTTGGCTGTCTGTTCTACAGTTTAACCTGTCCTACATTGTTCCTGAAAATATTCACATTGACCTCATTGACCTGCGTGGGCAATCCCAAATATTTTTGTGTTTACATCGGAACGTTTTTGATACTAGACGTCGCTATGTGTCACAATTTTTATATTAAAACAAACTTTTAAAATATAACTTTTTTTTTCGTTTCTATATTACTCAATATATTTATTTTGTTTGTGCAACATAAAAAAATAATTTTTAACGATACAGTAAGCACGATTATTATTTAAATAAAAATAAATTTTTTTAGGCTTAACATTGACGAAAATTCAACATGGCATCACAGGCAACAAATAAAAATTTAAACATCGAATAGGTTAAAACTTGAGTTTTTTTTAAAAGCCAAATGACTTCTGATTACATCAGGCTATATTAATGCTACCATTAATAATTAGAACAAATTACTTAGCATTTACAGGTAGGCATTAGGAAGAGATGCACATTAAAAATTCCCAAGGTTCTCATCCAAATTTGTTCCCGAGTTCTCCAGAGCATACAGCATAGTATACGTAATAACTATAAATGTAGGATGCTGTCAATGCCTTCCTGTAATCTACATATGCTGTGTGTAAGTTTGTGTGTTTATCGAAAAAAGACTGAATGAGAAACTGTTCTTTTTATTTGATGCGATTTCTACAGCAACCTTTTTGTTGTTCTGTGAGAATGTTGTGTTGTTTTATGTGATGGTGTTTGTGATGCATGAAGTGAGTATCGTGTACAGTTTAAGAAGATGCATGATTGGTCTGTATTGGCATTGTCATTTTTGGGTTTCAAGTATGTAATGCCCTGTGTAAGAAATTTTGTCTTGTGGATTGTGTATGCAAAATGTTTGGCTAATTCCTGGTGTAGAGATGTAAATTTTTGTACCAGAAGTTGTGAATGTTGTCTGCACAAAGTATCTTCAATGATATGTTCTCTGTATTACATGTTTTCTGTTGTGTGTACTTATTTTGACATAGGACATAATTGGTGTCTTATGCATGTTTTCTTCTTCTTCTTTGGTCCAATCCAGTCACACAGAAAGATTAATATTTTAACTTAATCTTCTAATAAATAATATCTTACCATTTATGGTTTTTATTTTTGTAATATAATGCCAAACTCTAATAATGCAAATGAGGTAAAAAAAAAATATACAAGAACAATTTATTAACTAAATCCTGATGTTTAATACATCAGAATTTAGTTAATAAATTGTTCTTGTATACAACTCTAGATTTGAATTGATAGAGTTGTAAAAGTACAATTCTATCAATTCAAATCTATTATTTCAGTTTAACAATGCCATTAAATGATTAAACTATGATACTGTATTACTATACTTTTATTTTCAAAAAGTCACTGTGGCTAGGCAGACCTTTTAAAAATAAGCTTGTTAAAATCATTATTACCAAATGATATCTCAATAAATAAAAATTGTGTCTAAGAAAACAAAAAAATTTTCTTTGCCATTATTGTTAAGACTAGGTAATCTTTATGAAAAATTGAAGATGAGTAAATCCAAAATTTACAACTAATTATATTTGCCTTTAGTCACAAATTTAAAATTTGTATAATTCAGTTTATTTAGTTTGAACTATCTATGGTAGATTTTTTGTAATGTTATTCTGGAAAAAATATATCAATTTTGCTAAAGATAGAATAATCTGAAATAAAATTCATGGTTACATTTTTTATTATGAATTTCATTTCAGTTAAATGAAAATAGTAGAAGTTCTATTTAAAAATTATCATAGAAAAAAACAAATAAAATCCAAATAAATTCTGAAGATTATTTGCTGAAATCTTGGGACTAATTGTTCTCACAGCAATAAAATTGTAGTGAGAACAATTCTGTTAATTAAAAATATGGAGATTTTGAATGAAAATTTATTAAAAATGAATATACAAATGCATGTTTACAGATAACAAATTGTAAATGGATGTATTTGTAGATATAGACTAAAAATATGTTTGAATCTATATTTTCATAGATAGAATAAAAATGTAATAGACTAAAGATCACTATTTCATTCTCTCATCTACATATGCCACACTCATAGTTTCACATGTACAGGCAAGGACAAGAATACATTATTTATTTAAACTCATTAACAGATATTTTCCTAAAATAACAATATCATGTAAAGAAGATAATTTACCATTGTGACACCCATAACTTGTGGCAAAGTCAAAGTTCCTGCACCTTCTGGAGTATATCCTAACTGAGAATATGGCATAGAAAAAGTAGCACTCTCACTGGCCATTACAACATCACTATAGGTAAGAAGAGTTACAGCAAATCCCATTGCATTACCATTGACAGCTATCACCAGAGGTTTCGAAAATGAGGCAAGTGTTTCAATTAACTCTCTGGTAAAATAAAAAACACATTTATTAAATTATTCAATATATTTATCCAAAAAATAATTTATGAAAGTATTAATTTACATAAATCTAATTACAGCAGCATTAAAAATTATTTTATATTTTACATGTTTTCTTTTAACTACTGAAACACAAAAAGAATAGATGATGATAAACAATTTGTTGAGAAAATATTAATCAATACAGTTTCTTTTTTTCACTTCAATTTTACCCTTAATGATGATTTATACCATGTCACTAATTACACACAAAAGTTCATGTTATTTTCAATATCCAATTTTTGATATTGAATATTTGGATATATTGAATAGATTCAATATCCAATAGATTCAATATAAGAATATTTTCAATATCCAAATACTGAATACAGAAATAGAATTTAACATCCAAATTAAACAGTATCTAAAAATATCAATTATTTTATTCAGAGCAACACCATTTTATTTGGAAAATGATTTTATTTTGTCTTTCAAAAACTTTTCTAATTTTTATAAAAATTTTCTATTAAATTTCATATTAAAATTGTTATTTGAGATAAAAAGCAAATAAAACTAAACTAAACTACTTTATGTGTGTGTGTGTGTGTGTGTGTGTGTGTGTGGTGTTTTTCCCGTATTTTGCTTTATATCTTAAGGCCCCAGCGACCAAAACTTTTGAAATTTGACATGAATATTTCTATATATGGGGCACTAATGCTATTACATTTTGCTGATTATGTCAGGGAGAAGGGAAATACCGGGAAGGGTAGAGGATCATTTCTCGAGTGGGATCAATTTTAATGAATTTTAAAAGTTTACCCTACTCCAAAATAAGACTTTCGTCTCCCCCCCCTAAATTTTAGAAATTATAATTGAAAATTATTGGATTTCTTTCCTTTTAACCTTATGTTGGAGTGCCAGGAAAGCCCTTGTCAATTTTTTTTTTATTCAATTGTTCTTCGTGCCAATTTGACTTTTAAGCATAATGTATATTGTTGGAAAAAATTAATAAATCGCGTGATATTTTTGTGAAAATAGTTAATAGGTTTTTACTTAAGTATATTTTCCATAATTGTGATAATTATCACATAACCTTTTAAACGTTTTCGTTAATTCAAATTAAGTGAATTACAACGATATCTGTCAAATTAACGACATTTTATTATATTTATCA